GGGGCCCGGAGCCGGCGCGCCCGCAGCGGAGGCGGCGCACGTTCCAGTCCGCAGGGGCCGGCGGGGCCCGGCGGCGGCGAGCGAGCCACTCGCAGAGAAGCGAGTGGGACCCGGAGATCTTCTCCGTGAGGAGGGAGGAGGTTTGCGGGTTCTGTAGGTCTCTAGATCCCCCACACACCGCCACCCCCGTCCAGCACCGCAGCCGCTGGCCACGGGGCTGTGGAGCCCTGAGCGTGCTCGTCCTCATGGAGATGTGCGGAGTGTCAAGTGCACCCGGAATTCTGGAGACGGAGGACAAAAAGAGAGAAGGCAAAATAGCTCACTAATGTTTTCTATTGTTACATGTGGACACGGTACTATATTAGACAGGTTGGGTTAAACAAAGTATGTTATTAAAATTAACTTCAGTCGTTGCTTGTTCCTTCACGTTGGTACAGCGCTGGTCCAGAGGCCCCGCAGGGGAAGTAACAATTGGCCGGTTTGGCCCTGCTAGTCGCACCAAGGAAAGAAAAAGAGGGTGAGTCTCCCCTGTGGGGGCACACCCAGAAAGATTACGGCCAGGAATGACACAGGCAGACCCTCCACAAGAGCAGGGTTTCCTGGAATGTACAGAGCGACCGCCTTAGGGATGGGGCTTTCTAGCAGCCGACTCTGCCAGTTTAAAGCCCATTCCGCCTACCACCTTCGCCTCCCCCCACCAGGAATGGAAAGAGACTCTTCCTGAGGACAGGGCTGATGTCTATTCAAAAGGTATTTCTGCTGACCACTGACATCATATGATGAGAGGGTAAGGCCTTAAGAGTCCCACTAGGGAAGGGGGTAGCCCCTCTCACAGAACTGTAGGACCTAGATCTGTGGGGTCCCAGGGCTTCGCTGCACCAGCCCTGCCTTTTGGGCCCCATGCACCAGTTGGGCTGAGGCCCAGGAGACAACCATGTGCCCAGAGTTGGCTGTGTGCTGTGGAGTGGGGCTTGCAGTCCAGCCTGAGTTACCGGGAGGCCAGGGTCTGGGCTCTGGGCCCTAGGGCGGGCCAGAGTTCCACGGAGCCCAGGCCAAGCTAGCATTTGGATCTCAGTTCTCTGACTGCTGCTTGGGAAAAATAGATGTTTTCGAACAGTTCATCTGCAAACAGGCCCTGGTGAAGAGCCCTGTGGGAAATGAGAGGAGACTTTCAGGCCAAAATGTTTAAGAACAAAGGGAAGAAATAAGCCTGTTCTGTGTATTGAGAAGGAACCTAGCAAGTTGGAGAGCTGAGCCTAGTCCCGCACTGCTACCTGCTGGGCCTGCTTCCTCATAGGTGAGGGAAGCAGCTGGGTGGATTAAATCAGTTTTTGCCCCCTCAGCATGTTTCAGGGAACTCTAGGGTATAGTGGAAGTGCATCAGGAATTCACAACCTTTTATTTGTCTTAACTTTTAAAATTTTATTTTAAAAGCTCTAATGAAAGTCAATGGACACACTTATATGTTATATGCCAAAAGTGTTAGAGCTCACTGATGCATTTAAATTCTGCCGCCAGCTTGGCTCATTTGGGAGAAGACCTTTGAATAAAGCCTCTCCTCCTGTCAGCTTGAATGAAGGTAGACAGCTATTGCAGGGTAGACAGTTGGAAGGAACAAGTCCCTAAGTCTAGACTCAAGGAGAGGGGACACGGGAATGCAAACGGGTTGTGCGCATTTTTAAACCACCACAAGTTTTGTAACAACTTATCTGTGTGCATCAGGATTTTCTCAATACTGTGCAACCAAATATCAAGTTGCCCTTGATAAAAGGGCAACTGTCATATATAACCCCTGACTTAAAACTTTCTTCTTCATCAAAGCTTATTTTTTAGTCATCATATCTTCTTTGTGCTCATTGATTTTCATAATTAACTATAAAATTCAACTTATAAATGTATTGCATTTACTAGTAGTAAGCTCTAATTTTTCTTTTTTTTTTTTTTGGTGAGGAAGATTGTCACTGAGCTAACATCTGTGCCAGTCTTCCTCTACTTTGTATGTGGGATGCCGCCACAGCATGGCTTGGCGAGTGGTGTGTAGGTCTGCGCCTGGGATCTGAACCCGGGAACCCCAGGCCGCCGAAGCGGAGCACATGAGCTCAAACACTATGCCACCAGGCCAGCACCAGTAAGCTCTAATCTTTGAAAAAAATTTTGCTACTCAAAAGGTTTGGAAACCACTGGACTAAATAATCACTCAGATTTTGCATCTGTTCGTGCGTGTGCGTGTGTGCGTGTATCGCGGGGAGAAGGCACTGAGGGGCTTTACCTAAGATTTTGTTTTAGGACAGAGCTCCACTTTGAGTCACTTTAAATTTCAGGAACTTAAAATCCTTTAGGACTGAGCACCCAGTCTACCCCACCACAGACATGTCCCAGTGAACTGTGATCAGACACAGCACCCTTGGTGCTCACCAGCTGGGAGCTCTGTAGATACGGGGTGCTGGCCTGGTCACCACTGTGTCCCTCATGCCAGAACAGCGTAAGCCCTCCAAACACTCGCTGAATGCCTAATACGGGGTCTGTGCGTGGAGACCATTCCTCTCTCTCTGCTGCCCTTTGAGAGGCAACTGTATACACTGGGAAAGCCCTGGGTTAGGGTCTTGGTCTCCATTCTCCACTCATCAGTTGTGTGTAGCTTCAGGCTTCAGATGAAATGTCTCTATTCCACAATTTTCTCATTTGCTAAAAGGATTAAAATCATTGGTCCTATTGACTTCACAGATTGTTGAAAGGATAAAACAATTTTGTAGATGTGACAGAACCCCTACAATTTAAAATAATCCTTCACATTTGAGTGATTCTTAGCCACTTTGCTTTTGTTTCAGCCAAAGGGGCTAGAAACTCGCCCCGGGAGTCGGAGACTTGATTCAGGTCCCAGCTCCAGCCTTAGGTTCACCTGGTCCTTCTGACCACAGGCCTCTACATGTACCACACCTAGGTTCTATTCCAGCCAGGTGAGGCCGGCCCCTCCTCCCCAGCACCACCCCCAAGTCCTCCTTCTGATCTTCCAGTCAAATCTTCAACCCCTGCCACAGGCCAGTCCTATGTCTACTCCCCCTGGAGGCCTCGCCAGGTCAACCAAGACCAAATCACCGCCTCCTCTCTCGGCCTCCACTAGTCGCTGCTGCTGGATTCATCCATCATTTCTCCACTCCTTAGTGCTCCCCGCCTGATCCTCGACAGCCACACCCCGTTGACCTTCTCGTGTGTTTGGCCTCCCCCTTGAACTGTGAGTATCCGAGGCCCTGGAGGTGCAGTCACATCAGCTGATGAGGAGCTTGACTGCCCAGGGGAGCATTCAGGACCTCAGTGGAGGACAGAGCAGCCTCTCCTCCTAGCTGGCTCTCTTTTCAGGCTCTAGAGCATGTGTTTCTGCTCCTCCTCCGTGCCACCACCACAGAGCCCCTGAAGGAGAGGAGGCAGGCAGGATCCTACTAGACTAGCCCTTGCTTCCGTGGCCCAGGGTTGGGGGAAGGGGGAAGTTTGTAAGCCATCCCTCCACATCCTCCAACCCTATGTGCCCCCTATTTGAACGCTCACTCCCGTGACTTCCCTCATCCTGGCATCACCTGTTCCTCTCACCGGGATCTGGTGGCTCATAAAGAACAAATAGATTTGGGGACTCAATGCAACCTTTTAATTCCAAGCAGAGTCCCCCTCCCCCAGCATTATCACACACATATAGTGGAAAGGGATGCCAGGGTCTGGGCAGGAACAAAACCCAGACCCAGACAAAAATATATATATAATTATATACACATATGTCTTTGTAGAGAAGAAAAGCGGGGACGGTGATTAAGGTGGGGCAGAGTCAGGTGGGGGAAGCAGCTGGGGGGCCCCAATAAACTACATTCTTCAGAGAGCGTGGTGGGGGTGCATGGGTATGGTGGGACCTGGTAGCCAGGACACAGCCTGACCTCTTGATCCCATCCCCGGGAGCCTGGAGGCCTGGGTTCTGCCCGGGCCCTGAGTGCTAGAAGGTGGGAGCCTAGCTGACGGCCTGGAGGCTGATGGTGGGCTGGGTTTGTGCAGGCGACATCTCCACTCCAAGCCAAGGGTTCTGGGGAAGCCGCAGGGCTGAGCAAGAGGCTTCGAAGCTTGGGGGTCACAAGGAGAGGACAGGGCGAGTTGGAGGGCAGGCTGGCCTCCCTGGTGGAGGCTGACCTCAAGCCTGCTCTGCTAGAGTCAGAGAAGCAGGAGGCCCAGGCGCGGGGAAGCTGTCCCAGGTGAGGCGAGGAGGAGTGCTGGGGCACACAGGGTCCTGGGGCTCTCCTCCAGGCCTGCATGCCTGCTTCCCACTCACCTCCTCCCATCCACCCACTGGTCAAGATAGCCGACAGCCTGACCACTAAGTGCCAGGTTTCTTTCTCCTCACTCTCTTTTGGGGACCTTCCTGGGGGCGGGGGCAGGGGTAGGCTGCAAACAGTAACTCTGTGTGTGCTGGAGTCCAGACTGGGTTTGCCCTGTGCAGTGAGGACTGGGGATGGGAGGAGGAGGCCCCGCTCATTATGGGGAAGAAAGCTGTGTCCCACATGCGGCACTGCAGAGGGCTTGGCTCCCCCTAGACCTGGGGAATGGAGCCAACCCTGCCTCTGCCCCACTCCCTGCTCCCTCAAGAGACGATGCTTTGGGGTCTGGGACCCCAGCCTCAGAGCCCGGAAGCAGCAGAGGTGAGGGGCAGTCACAGAGAGGGTGGGGCGATCAGAAGAGAGAGGCCTTTTTCTTGAGTTCGTTCCGCTTCCACAGAGCCAGTTTGCTGAATTCTTCTGGAGACATGGAAAATACCCTCGAGAAGTCCTCTGCTGACAGATGCCTCTGTGAGGGGGACACGCAGAGGCAGCTTAGGGAAAGGAGGCAGGGTGGGCTGGGCCGAGTGACAAAGTGGGCACTCAGACAGAGGCCCCAGGTCTTGCCCACCAGGCAGGGGAGGCTGCCTATCGCAGCCCCTACACCCACCAGCACATTTCCCCTGCGTACCTCAAGCCTCATCCGATCCACACCTGGAGGCAACTTGCTTCGCCCCTTATTGGTCACCACCAGCATTTCATAGGGATAGATCTGGGGGGCAGGGGAGGGGAGGGGTTAGGCTCAGAGAGTTTCCTGTCAACATAGCCTCCTCAGTGCCCTAGGTCCCCTTATCAGCCTGCAGGGGCCCCAGGGGACTCATGCCATTTTGCCGTCCATCTCCCCCAACTTCCCTGCTGCCCCCCATCTTCTCCAGGAGGACCCCTTAGCGCATTCACTTCCCTGGCTTCTCCCCCAGCTGGCCCACCTCCTGCCCACCGCCCCCTGGCTCTGCCCCTGCCCCTCACCTTCTGCTCCAGCACACAGGGCAGGGAGTTCCCCCGGTCCATCCTCCCCCTCTGGCCCTCTCCGTTCTGGGGAGACCAAAGCCGCAGTGAGCCAGCGTGGGGCAGGGAGACCTCCCCAGCCTTACCCTGGGCTTCTCATGTCCTCACCAGGCAACTCCATGGCCCATAGCCCCTCCCCCAATACTGCCAGTTGCCCGGCTATGGCCATGGCCTCTTGTGCTCCGTGTGTTCCCCTCCAGAAGGCACTCACCTGCAGGCCTGCGGGAGAGAAAAGTCACTGTTCAGAGGCAGCTCTGAGGTCAGCAGGTCTCCACACCTGCCAGCTCAGCCTCCCCGACCTCCAGCCACAGGGGCCTGCCCACATCACAGACATGGGCTGCCCGGGGGGCCTGTTTAAGCCCCTTTCCCGGCTCGCCTGGCATCAGGAAAGCCCTGCCTCTCACCTGGGCTTCCAGTCTCACTCCCAGACGGGCTGAAGTCTGTGGACTGTAGCTAGAAAGGACACGAAGGAATCAGAAGGAAGCTGGAGTACTCCGCATTGTTCCCCTTCACTTTAAGGGTCTCCCCGCTCCCCCAGGATGCCCAAGTGGCTCAGTTCCTCAGAGACCCCCACGTGCACACTCTTCCCGCGCAGTCTGTGATCCCTGGTCTGGGACCTTACCCGGCTCAGGGTGGTCCTGCCGTAGGCGGGGAGAGAAGAAGACTTAGACGTGCCTGCGTGCAGGGCTGGAAAAGAGCAAGGGGCCCAGCTCAGTCCCTTGGGCATGACCTCATCTCTGAGAGGGCTCCCTCCCTGGCTTCCCTTGCCAGGGGCAGGCAGTGAAGGGTGGGCTTGGGGGAACCTGGTGGGCCTCTGTTGGCTTCCAGCTCCTGCCCATTACCTTCAGCAAGTGATATCGTGCTGGCAGCTCTGAACCGTCTCTGATGCCTTTCCTCTCCCTCTAACCAAAGTGCACGGAATACACATTCGGGCCAAATACCCGAGTGTTAAAACTGACATCAGCCAGTGATGGATGATGAGGCTCACCATCATAAAATGAACCTCTGGGATACAAAATAAATCTAAAACTTAGTCAAAATAAGCAAATCATTACAACTTTATTATTAGCAAAGTTAGTAATCAAATTTCAAACGTTTGCTGTTATACTGCAGAAACCACAATCTTCTCAGCACTGTCAGCTGCTAGATTGCACCAGCAGTCAGTACACTTTACATCTGCTCCTTCAGGTCTCACTGTCAACTTGCACATTTCATAATATCACTCAGCTTTCAAGTACTGCAGATTATAACTCAAGAAACTTGGTTTGCAGTAACAGGTTTTCCTAGAAAGAACTTTGTACCTAAAATTCTTTGTTTAGGCAGACCTCAAAATTCCTTCATCTCCAAATACTAGAAATCGTTGACATTCGATAGCAATTGTTCTGATAAACATTTTTGTTTAAAGAGTTAGCCTGGATAGACTCAAAACTATAAGGAACCATCTTCTTAAAACATTCTTATAAAATCTGTTGTTTGGAAGTTTGGTGAGAACAAAATGTGTTTTGGGGACCTCTTTTTTTTTTTCTTAATACTTTTTTTTTTTTTT